GGGGAGCCGAGCGCTTCCAGCGGGCAGCGCCGGGGCGACCGCGGCGCGGGGCACGCAGCAGGCGACGGCCGCCTCGCCGCAGCCGGCCCGTCCGCCGGGCCCGCGGCGGCGGCGCCACCAGCCGTCAGAACCCCAACCCGGCTCCCTCATGGCTGCGGCCAAGGCAGAGATGCAGCTCCTGCCCCCGCTGCAGATCTCCGACCCCTTCGGCGTCTTTCCGCACTCGCCCCCCGCCGTGGACACTCATTATCCCAAGCTGGAGGAGATGATGCTGCTCAGCGGCGGGGGTCCGCAGTTCCTCGCCCCCCCCGGGGCGCCCGAGAGCGCGGGCTTCGGCGCCGCCGGCGAGCCCGGGGAGCAGCACTTCGAGCACCTGGCGGCAGGTAAGGGCGCTGGTCTGGCCCGGGCGGGCAGGGAGTCCCGGTGCGCCGCGGGGGCTCCGCGCTGCAGCGCGCCGCTCTCCTGGCGGCGGCGCAGGGGGATTCTCCCGCCTGCGTCAGCGGCTCTCTGGGCCGGCTGCCGCTGGAGAGCTGCCAGCGGCGCTGCGATACGTTACGCTCAATTATTAATTAACCAGAAGGAAGGATCTGGGGCTGCGCTGCGTGGGGATGGCTCGCGAAGCACTGGCAACAGCTGCAGTGGCTGCTGGAAGTAATCGCTGTTCCTCTCTTTTTCAGACACTTTTCCTGAGATCTCCCTGAACAACGAGAAAACCCTGCCAGAAACCAGCTATCCCAACCAAACCACGCGACTGCCACCAATAACTTACACCGGGCGCTTCTCCCTCGAGCCAGCCCCCAACAGTGGCAACACCTTATGGCCAGAGCCCCTCTTCAGCCTCGTCAGTGGGCTGGTGGGCATGGCTAATGCACCTCCCACCTCTACACCTTCTTCGTCGTCACCGTCCTCCTCCTCGCAGAGCCCCCCTCTGAGCTGCTCTGTCCAAGCCAGCGAGAACAGTCCAATCTATTCGGCTGCACCAACTTTTCCCAATTCCAACTCTGACATTTTCCCTGAACCGCAGACCCAGTCCTTTCCCAACCCCTCTGGAGCTCCCATCCAGTATCCACCTCCAGCTTATCCGACTGCTAAAAGCAACTTTCAGGTGCCAATGATCCCGGATTACCTGTTCCCTCAGCAACAGGGTGAGCTCAGTCTTGTTCCGGCTGATCAGAAGCCCTTCTCTGCCCTTGAGACCAGAGCACAGCAGCCTTCCCTCACGCCACTGTCCACTATTAAGGCATTTGCTACTCAGACTGGCTCCCAGGAGCTGAAGACCCTCAACACTAACTATCAGTCCCAGCTGATCAAGCCCAGCAGGATGAGGAAATACCCAAACCGTCCCAGCAAGACCCCTCCTCATGAGCGACCCTATGCCTGCCCTGTGGAGTCCTGTGACCGGAGGTTTTCACGGTCTGATGAGCTAACACGGCACATACGCATCCACACGGGACAGAAACCTTTCCAATGCCGCATTTGCATGCGGAACTTCAGTAGGAGCGACCACTTGACTACGCACATCCGCACGCACACAGGAGAGAAGCCGTTTGCCTGTGACATTTGTGGCAGAAAGTTTGCCAGAAGTGATGAGAGGAAGAGACACACTAAAATCCACCTTAGGCAGAAGGACAAGAAAGTGGAAAAGGCAGCTCCAGTCTCAACTGCTTCCCCCATTCCTGCCTACTCATCCTCTGTGACGACATCCTACCCTTCCTCCATTGCTACCACTTACCCTTCACCAGTGCGCACAGTGTATTCCTCCCCTGCTCCCTCTTCCTTTCCCTCCCCTGCACACACCACATTCCCATCTCCTTCTATAGCAACCACTTACCCCTCTGGCACCGCCACTTTTCAGACCCAAGTGGCCACCTCCTTCTCATCTCCAGGGGTCACCAACAACTTCAGCTCACAGGTGACCTCAGCACTTTCAGACATGACATCAACCTTTTCTCCAAGGACAATTGAGATTTGCTGAGATTACCTTCTGGAGCAGGAGACCTCACCTTTTCGATTGGTAGTATCAGACATGGAGTCTCCAATTACTCCCCCAACGCCATACATTGCAAGGCTATTTAACTTTTCTTTAAACTTCAGCTGCCTGAAACAACCACAGTTTTAAGTTTTACACCTCTGTTGAATGACTTAATTTGCATGGACTGTGGATATAAGTTCAGTATAACTTTCCCCGTAAACAATAGTCTTTTATTAGGAAGAAAGGACTTTTGATTAAGTATGTAGCTGATGTAAATTGTACATGTGCCATGGTTTTGCTTTCCTTTAGGTACTAGTGATGTGAAAAATCTTTGCATATCCATATTGTATCATTTGGAGTTTGCAGGGCCATATTTTGTAAATGTTAATTCTGTTTCAGTGACAAAGCTGTAATGAGTTTCAAACATCTTTGGGAACAGCACTTACTGTATTTGAGCATGTTAGAATGATGCTATGTAAATATCAACCGATGAGACACTCACATGTGGCAGAAGTTTTGTTTTTAAAGTTACAAGTCTTGGTGCCTTTTTGTGAAGCCTTGCTGACATCATGCATTTGTGTGAATGGATGCTTTGCATCTTGCCTTAAAGTGAAAGGGATGTTACTCAAAGAATGTAAGGGAGAGCAGGGAATGGGTGGGGAGCACAAGAAAGCCCTGGGGGACGAAATGTAAGCAAAAAAAAAAACAACAAACCAAACCCCACACCTCTCAAAGTCTATTTTTGTTACAAAAATGTAAATTTATATATATATATATTCAGGAGTCGGAATGTTGTAGTTACCTACTGAGTAGGCGGCAATTTTTGTATGTTATGAACATGCGGTTCATTATTTTGTGGTTTATTTTTACTTTGTAATTGTGTTTGTTAAAATGAAAGTGACTGTTTGGCTTTTAAACACATCGAATGCGCTTTCCTGCCAATGGGATATTTGGTGTACAATACCCTTCAGAAAAAAATAAATAAAATATCGAGTTGTGCGGAATTCTACATTTTCCTTTAAGTTGCTACATAGGAAGACTGTGCTGCAGCAACCCTGACTCCTTGAGTGGCTGGGAAATAACAAGTGATGCTTGTCTCCTGGAGAAATACCCTCTTAAAGAAAGGAAGGGAGATCAATCACTCCTAAGTCCAGCTGCTTGCAAAGGCATGGATGGAGTGTGTGCATCCCTGCGTTACATCCATCACCCGCTATTTTGAAGTAGCCACGATTCCTGTTTTCTGGCTTCTCCAGAAGTATCTGAGCTAGTCTTCGGAAGAAAGACAATCTTCCCAGTGCTGAAAGCGATGTTTGAAAACTAGAATCTCAACTGTGTGTTCATAAATAGTCAGAAATCTTACTGGATGGCAAGATAATAAAGCAGTTTCTAGGCTGGAAATACAGTAAGGTCAACCCAAGTGGCTGGCTGACTGAAGGTAGCCCTCCTCAGCTGGGGGCTGTCACAAGGTCCTCCTTGACACAACACAGGGGACATAAGTGTGTGGGCCTGATGGTCTTGAGTGCAGACGTTTCAGCATTTACAGAAAGAACAATTCCCTGCATGGTGGTTCAAAATACATTTCAGAGGGTATGTGAACTCTCTGCTGAACAAATTCAAGGAGTTTGCATCTATGAGAACTGGTGGTGTGGGTACAGAGGAGGGTTCTGGCCCCAGCCCCTTCAGGCAGGGTCTCTACAAATTACTAACATTTTGGGTTGTGAGAAGATGGGATATAGATATAGGCCTTGATGAATGCACTTGGCACAGTGCAAATGGGCAAGCAGTCTTTGTCAGGCACAGCATGCCCTACTGCTTGCCCGTATCAACCCCACTGGCTAGGAGGGGGAATCTGCTGAAGCCCCCAAGCTGGTCCTTCTTCTTGGGGATGCATCCTGCCCCTGGCAAATGGCAGCAATTCTGGAAGATACCTAAGAATTGAGCAGCTGTTAAATCCCAGTCTGCCACCTCTCAGGCAGGACTGTCCTCAGTGGTTAGGGACAAGTGGGAAGGGACTGTGCTGCTTTGTCTCTGCTGGTTTGTGCTGCAGTGCCAGGTGCAGTCAGAAGCTGCTAACGGTGACTTCGCAGCTGGCCCTGATGGGCCTTTTCAGAGAAAAGCACCAGCATTTTTCAACCCAAGGGGCTCTGACCTCCGGCCAAGGCAAACTGACTGGGCAAGCTGAATATTTGGCTTCACACTATCTAAAAGCACATAACCCATGTTAGAAGCCATAGAAATCCACTTATGGGAGACAAGACAATGAAGAAGGACCTTCAAATGCGATGCTTCAAGGAAGGAAGCAAATAATACTATGTAAAGCTAACCACGTTTTTTCCCCCACCTCTGGTTCCCAAAGCTAACAGCAAAATAAACAGAAAGCACTGACTGTACGTTTTCTGCGAGATCTTTTCGTTTGCCGTTGGTCTGAAGAAGACAGGATTTCTGATTCTGAAGAAGTTTGCTCCCAGTCTAACCGGGCAGATCAGCCGGTCTCCCGGCGGCTGTTCCCAGGGAAACAGCAGGTTTCCCCGCCGGCCGAGGAAACCCCTCGCCTCCCGCGCAGGCCAGGCCGCGAGGCAGATGGAAGCTGGGCCGGGGGGAAGGAGGCAAAGGCCGCTCGCTTTCCCGGGCGCTGCCGGAGGATCTCCCCGCCCGCACTGACCCTCGGCTGTCTGTGGGCTGCACCCCTCCGGGGCCGGGAGCGCGGCGGCGGCGGGCGATTCCCCCCCCCCCCCCCGTCAGCCGCGACCGAGCGGAAACGTCTCTCCCGCGGCGGCCGGAACCGACCATATTTGGCGCTTCCTCCGCGCCTTGTATGGCACTTCCGAGGCCCAAAAAAGGTGCTTCCTGCTCACGCGCTGCTGGGAGCCTGCTGCGGAGACGACCCCCTCCTTCACCGGGCCGCCCAGGCGGCTGCGGGTGAGGGAAGGCCTTGCTCCAGCCAGGGCGAGCGGCGGGCGGAGGGCGGGCGCTCCTGAGCCTTTCCTCGCCGCCGCTGCGGGTTCTGTCGTAGGGGCTGAGTCGCGGCTCCGAAATAGGTAGGATGCAGCTCTGCGGGGGGAGCATTCGTTTGTCTCGGCTGTTCCTCTGTGGAGCCTTCCCGTAAGCCGCTGCGCACCCGCGGAGGTGGCTGTTCTGTGTTTTGATTACGCTAGAAACACTGATTCTTCATTTTCATTTCCCTTTAGAACTAAGGAGATAAAGATTAGCTCGGGCATGCTTAAAGAGCCCAGCGTTCCCTGTGATACACTGCGTGGTCCGTTGCATTGTTTGCAGCGGTAACGAGCAGGAGCTGCGATTAGAGCATCTGTGGGCTGGAGCATCAGCCGCCCGCCTGGGCTGTGCTCCCGGCGGGACTGAAGAGCGGCCGGGCACAGGCAGGGCTGTCCCCAGCACGGAGCTCCAAGCCGTGAGGAGGCGGGTCGTCCTGCTGGCGGGGAGCCCGGCCCCTTCCCTCGGGGATGAGACCCGCGCCAGGCGGCCTCTGTGCAGGCAAGGTCCATCCCGGCCCTGCTCCCGAGGGCAGAGGTGGGGTGGGGGTCCCTCAGCTCGTCCCCGTTGTCTGGGTGTGACAACCAGGGTCATGTATTTGCCTTTCTTTTCCCAGGGTCACCTTCCGTGGCATGGGAAGAAAATCCTGAACAGCTGATTCTGCTTGCTGCTCAGGTAATCGCATGTATTTTTGCAAGGAGGCAGTTTGGAATGACAGGTGGGTTCCTGTATCCTTTAACAAAAATACTCAACTTGGGGCATATAGGATGACGAAACCTTAACTCTACATAGGCTCAAGAAAATGGAGGTAGTTGTCTGTGTCTGTCACCTGCATGTTCCTGGGAAAGTGGCTCCCGTGGAACTAAAGCTGCCAGTGAGTCAAAAAAAGGCAGGGCTGTCCAAAAAACGCAAAGGCTCTACTGGCCTTTATCAACAGCTGTACCAAAGATGGTGCCAAACAGTTTTTCCTCCACTCTATAGGGTTTTTTTTCTCTCTTGGCAGAATGTCGAACTGCCACTCTTCCTCTGCGGTTGCCCTTTATTCTGTCACTTCAGCACAGGACAGATGGAAAGGATCTGGAGTGCTCTGCAAGTATGTCCTACGTCTCCAATATGCCTCTACATTTTTCCTAAGGTCTTTGTAGTATGGACTTTGACGTTAACGGGAAGGAGGTGCCAGCTCTCTTTCTATAGTTCTTCTATGAAATATTTTAACAAAATACTAAAAATAAAATAAACTCTGTTTAGAGCATGTTCTGCCCGTGCAAAGCTTATTTCCCTCTGTTTATTTTTTCTTCCTGAAAGCATAATCCTATATTTTGGCATGCTATCTATTAAATGATACTGTGAAAATAATTTTTTACTAAAAGAAGGAAAAAACTGTTAGTTAGAGTTCAGGTGTTCAGAGGAAGCAGACCTTGTTTCATGATAAAAGCTTTATGCTTTTTCAGTCAATAAATTTTAAAAAGATCTTATGGTAGTACTCAAAAACCTTACTGGGATACTGGTATCTGTCCTAAAAGCAATCAAGATCAAAGAAGACACATGGACAAAAAGGGACAAACCAGTGTCGCTTTTGTGTGTTTTCTAGGCTTTGCCATGAAGCATCAGCAGCCTCGTAACTAGTGACGACGAGTCCTGATGTGGCTTTTGTGAGTTATGACTTCCAATAATGTCCTTTTTCAATAACGTACAGCATGTCATTTTGACATCAGTTGGAAGGAGAATTTCTGGAATGGAAAAGTTTCTCATTCAAAGCAGTTGCATACTATGAACTTGCCATGAGAGCAGATCTTCAGAGATGATGTACTCGGCAGTAGAAGTCATCAGCAACAAGGCTTTGCTCTCTCTTTGCACTTCTTTGCCAGTCTTTGGGTTCTCAGTTGTAACAGTCAAGATATCATAAAACTGTGTTCCTCTGCGTGTTCAGCACAGCCAAAAGCATTTGCCAGTCTGCTAATCCTTTTTGGTAGCCGGATGGGTTGTGGCACCTGGGATTTGATTTCTGCCCCCTCCCTCCACCCCCCCAAAACATTTGGGGATCTCTTGTCTTGCTGAATTATCTATGCTAAATGAATCTTTTTTTAAAAGGTCAAAATTGTATAAATTACAAACTGACTTGCAGTGTTTAAAGTGCAACTGCCAAATAGCTGTAGCATACCATTTATTAGGTGTACTTAAGCAGTTAGATACTTATTGTATGTATTTTAAGAGAGGTGACTGTATGTAACAGGTTTTGGTTTTTTTTTTTTTTTCTTTTTTTTTTCTGACATTTAGATGGAGTGCTCTGAAGTACTTCATTTCCATCTGGCCTTCAGCGGTGCGTTTCCCTGGCAGCCCAGTAGCATCTCTCTTGGGCAGTACAGCTGGCCAGATGTCCCTCCTTGTTGTGTAGCTGTGGGTCCATCAGCGTTGATTCTGTTTTTCTATTTTGCTGAACTATAATTGGGGATTTTTGTTTTCCAGGTGTCTTGTTGTATATGTGTCGTGCTGCTCAATAGATGCCCCAGTTCAGGCTGGCAGCTGGTGGTGGAGCCGTCTGAGGGGAAGGGGCCAGCCCTGGGGGTCTGGTCCTTTTGTTCATTTTTTGGGGTGAATAAAAAAAAAAGTGTGTGTCTGGGTGGGTGATGATTGATGATGTCATTTGGGGCACCTCAAAGTCACTGGGAGAGCGATGATGTGGCACAGAAGCAGGTGAGTGGGGGATGTCGGGGTTACGTGGGGTTCCCCCCCAAAAGAGGGAGGTCACAGCCCCGAAATATCTGAAAATTTGGGGTTGGGGGTGGTGGTTAAAAAATGTTAAAACCTGTAAATGTGGGTGTGAGGCACTGAAATGGAGAACAATCTCTTGTTTTCATATATATTGAAAAATAATATGCGTTTATGTGTGTAAAGGAGTTCAAAATAAAAATTTATATCACAGAATCACATGGGGTTGGAAGGGACCTCTGGAGATCATCTAGTCCAACCCCACTGCCAAAGCAGGTCCACACAGAGCAGGTCGCACAGGAACGTGTCCAGGTGGGTTTGGAATGTCTCCAGAGAAGGAAACTCCACCACCTCTCTGGGCAGCCTCTTCCAGGGCTCTGCCACCCTCACAGGAAAGAAGTTCCTCCTCATGTTTAGGTGGAACTTACGTTCAAGTTTGTGCCCATTTCCTCTTGTCCTATCCGTGGGCACCACTGCAAAAAGACTGGCCCCATCGTCTTGACACCCACAGCTCCGTCTTCTCTAGACTAAAAAGACCCAAGACCCTCAGCCCTCCTCGTAAGGGAGATGCTTCAGGCCCCTGATGATCTTTGTAGCCCTCTGCTGTACCCTCTCCAGCAGCTGCCTGTCCCTCTTGAACTGGGGAGCCCAGAACTGGACACACTACTCCAGATGGGGCCTCACCAGGGCAGAGTAGAGGGGCAGCATAGCCTCTCTCAACCTGCTGGTCACATTCTTCCTGATGCGCTCCAGGATGCCATTCTCGGCCACAAGGGCACATTGTTGGCTCATGGTCATCTTATTGTCCGCCAGGACTCCAAGGTCATTCTCCTGAGAGGTGCTCTCCAGCAAGTCAGCCCCCAACCTGTACTGGTGCATGGGGTTATTTCTTCCCCAAGTGCAGGACCTACACTTGCATTTATTGAAGTACATCAGGTTACTTTCTGCCCAACTCTCCAGCCTGTCCAGGTCTCTCTGCATGGCAGCACAGCCCTCTGGCATGTCAACGACCCCTTCCAGTTTTGTATCGTCAGTAAACTTGCTGAGGGTACACTCCATCCCCTCATCCAGGTCATTGATGAATATATTGAAGAGGACTGGACCCATTACTGACCCCTGGGGGACTCCACTTGTTACAGACCTCCAACTAGATTCTGTGACCCTAATAACAACCCTCTGACCTCTGTCTTTCAGCCAGTTTTCAATCCATCTCGCTGTCTATTCCTCTAATGCACACTTCCTGAGCTTACCTATGACGATGCTGTGGGAGACTGTGTCAAAAGCTTTGCTGAAATCAAGGTAGACAACATCCACCGCCCTCCACTCATCTTTTCAACCAGTCATGCCATCATAGAAGGCTATCAGGTTAGTCGGACATGATTTCCCCTTGGTGAATCCATGTTGACTACTTCTGATAGCTTTCTTTTCTTCCATATGCTTTGAGATGATGCCCAGAACGAGTTGTTCCATCATCTTTCCAGGGATGGAGGTGAGGCTGACTGACCTGTAGTTTCCCAGTTCTCCTTCTTGCCCCTTTTGAAGACTGGGATGACATATCTCTAAGTAGTCTATGATTCTATATTATATAAAGGAGTTTGGAATATGAAAAGATTTTTAAAAGATTTCTTTATAAAGAGATATTAACGTGTCAAAATATATGTCAAAACAGATAGCTAGTGTAATTATATGTTCCATATAATAAGTGTTAATATATGTCTAAATAGATCTGTTAACAGATATTCTATATAAGTGTAAATAGATAATATGTATTCTCTAAGCGTGTGTATATATGTGTGTAAACAGATACAGCAAGTGTAAATGTCTATGCTATACAGGGTTTCTAAAATGCAAAGAAAGTCTATTTATAGAAAGGATAAATAAACTTGCCAACCCCCTTCCCCCCAATCTGTCTTGAAGATGAAAAAGCACTTTCAAAAGCTGCTCCTTTCCCTTTTTCCTTTTCCCCTCCCAATCTGGGGCCGTTACCCGTCAAACGGGGACTTTCCCCCGCGGGGCTGTGAAAACCGTGCGGGAGCTGCTGCCATGGCACAAAAATACCCCAACCCCTCGATTCTGGGTCTGCGCTGGGGAAAGCCCTCTAATTTTGGGGGACTAAAGTTCCCAGTTTGGGGCTCCCGAGAAAGCTAAATACACCTCGATTTGTGCAGCTGGAAAGGAGAAAACCCCATTTTCATGCCTGAAAGCAAAAATCAACAAAGTTATGTTGTGGATAAGGCGTCACCCGCGGCTCCCTTCCTGGTCCCCGGCGGACTCGCTGCTGTCGGCGCCTTGGCCCTGGTGCCACGCGCGGAGCGATGCAGCGTCCCTGGGGCTGATCGCAGGGCGAAAACCTCTGTTTCGCAGGTTTTTGTTGCAGAGGCGATGGCTGTCGCTGACTGGGCTGTGAGCAGGGATAGGGCAGCGGGATGGAAGCCCTGCACGCCGGTGTTCACGGGTCCTGAGTGGAATAAATCGGGCTGAGAGCGGTCACTGCTCATCACCGTAATGGGGGCTCAGAGGGGGATAATTAAGGGTGTGCTGTCGCCCGGCGGCCAAAGACCGGTACTGCAGGTGGGGAGTCGCGCATGCGCATCCCGGCCCGGCTCGGCCCCGCCCCACCCGGCCGCGCAGGTGCCGGCCCACACACAGTCGCAGCGGCTGCTGCTCCGAGCTGCAGAAGCCCCGCCTGCCCACGAAGTTCCTGACCCCAGGGAGAGCTGCGGGGGGCGCAGGCCGCGCAACGGGTTTACTTTGTGCTGTCGCACACAAATCTATAAAGTGTTTAAGGAGAAAAAGTCGGGTATGGGTCAATTCCCTGCCATCAGGTCCGGCCGCACGGCCCCGTTGCCACGTCCACGGTCCTGCTGCCCGCCTCGGGGGGTCTTCAGCAAGGCAACGGCCTCCGGACGGAAGGGTGGGCCAATCAGCGCGCGGGAGCCGCGCTCTGATTGGTTGCATCGCCTTGCCGGGGTGGGGCGTGGTGAGGATTGACGGCTGCTTCGGAACACTGGAGCGTGGCTTCTCAGGGAAGGGGGCGGCGGTCAATGCGGCGCTCGGCGTGGGCAGGGTGGGGTGGGGTGGGGTGCTCCGGAAGCGGAGGGGCTCGGGAGAAAATGGCGGCCAGTACGAAATCGCAGCTGCACGGCCCGGGAAGAAAGCAGGGTCCAGGGGACGGGTCCTCGACCGGGCCGGGTCCTCGACCGGGTCGGACCCGCGGGACTGCCACGAGTACGTCGTGAGGCAGCCGGACCGCGTCAAGGTGAGCCGGGGGGCTTGAGGGCGGCCTGAGGGGGGCTCGGGGAACGGCGGGACCTGAGGCGGGGTATTGTAGGGTTGGAGGGGGGCATATGGGCCCGGTTCCCCGCGGGGTCCCCTCGGCTTGGGGGGATTGGGGTGCGGTGCTGGTGATGCAGGAGAAATAAAGCCCGGAACGGCGATAATAAAGCGGTACCTGGGCCGTACTGGTGCTGCCCCGCAGAGAGGGGGGGGCTGGGCTCTCCGCAGTTTCCCAGTGCTTCCCCACACTGTCCGTGGGGCCCTAGGGGTGCCTTGCTGTGGGGAGGCTGTGCTCCACCCCACCCCTCGGCACCCCCCAGGGGGGCTGCAAAGAGGTTGTGCTGGTTTGTGGCCCCACACGGAGACGAGGCCTTCTGCCCCCGGGGCTGGCAAACAGCCTTGTGTGGCTGGTTTTGGGGCTCAGAAACAGAGTTGTGTAGCTTTGGGTTCTGGAACAGCTCAATCTGGCTGTTTTGGGACTTGAGAAGAGGCTCAGCAGCTGGGCTTTGGAGCTCAAAAAGGGGCACTAGATGAGCCGGTTTGGGGGCCAAGAGCAGAAGCCAGTTTAGCCCGTTTTGCAGAGGGGGGGGCAGGAGGACATTTGGGGCTGCAGGGGAAAGAAGTGGGTGGGCAGGGTGCGTGGAGCCTCCCTGGAGGTGGGGGATCTGGTCCAGTTGGACCCCAAAGTTCGAGACGCTGGGACACACCCAGCTGAACTCTGAGGTGGTCTGGGGGGGGGGGGGGAGACTTTTCAGACTCTGCACGACCTGTTTGAGTCTAGCTCTTCTTTGTGCATTGCTTAGGGTAGTCATTAAGTAATTAGTTGTACAAACTAGTTAACGTTTATACCACCTACAGTAGTGATGTTTAATTGCCATGCTCGAAATCTGATGGTGATTGACTGACATTGTTGTCAAAAGGCCAGAGCAGTGTAAACAGCTGGAACTTGTGGAGAGAAGGAACTGAAATGGACTGGTGCAGAGTCGGGGCTTGGATTAGGCAGAGCTGCAGCAAGCAGGAGGAGCAGTGAGACGGAGTGCCTGCTGCCTGGAGTGTGTATTAGCCGGAGGCAAGGCTGTCGGCCTCCGGCTGTCGGCATCGGTAGGGAGCAGGAGCTGCCATGAGCTGGAGCATCTGTTGGCTGACTGTGACAAACAGGGTCATTTATCTTCTTTTCCCTGGGTCACCTTCTGTGGGGCAGGAATGAAGTCCTGCAGGGCTGATTCCACTTGCTGCTCAGGTAACTGCACCTGTGGGGCTGGGGGAGTGGCAAGAAACATTAGCGAGTTCAGGCATGCTACAGTCTCCATGTCCAACCCACACAAAAGGCCAATTTGCTGCCAGTGGGGAAAAGCTGATGAAGAATTGCAGTTAACGGAGCATGCCTCCTGCCTGAATCAGGCCCTTGGTAGTTAGGAATGGGGTAAAAGAACAAACTTTCACCTCTGCTAAATGAAGAGCTGCCCGTTACCTTCTTTGGGCTCAAGTGTTTCTCTTCTGTTTGTTCCTACTAATTTTATGGGCAACCTGGAAACAGCCTTTTATTTTGGATTCATAACTCAATTTTTATTAGTATGTGGTGTCAGTGTAGTTGATTTTTGAGCACCTGGATGCCAGTAGAAATGTAGTGAATGAAACACAATGGAAATGGATGTCACTTGATTTATATTCTTTTTTTGTTGTTGTTGTTGAGGGGTTTTTTTGTGTGTGTTTTTTTGTTTTTTTAAATTCAAGTAGCAATGGCGTGTTTTTCTATGGCTCCGTCCACATTGTTGCATGGAGCCTTCAGTCTAGGACTTTTAAATAAAAATAGTTTTTCGTTCCAGGAAAGAACCAGTCCTTCGTAGGACTGATGTGTAGATTTGGAGGGTCTCTTAAGGATGCAATCAGAGCAAAAGCCAAATTTCAGCCCATGTTGCTGCTGTTGGTCTTCACTATTGTTAACACCTCCACAGCTCCCTTGTGGGTGGGAGATCTGATTCATTTGTTTTCAGTCTCTAACACGTTTGTTTTTTTTTCCCCAAAGAGAGGATACGTTTAAAAGTTAATGAGCTTCCTCCCAGATGTGCCAGTGACTACCATCGAGTTATGATTGTTAAAAGCACAAAAGTGACATGTTCTTGGAGATGGGGACTACTTCTGGACATGCGTTAATCCCATGCAGGTGTTCTCAGGATACAGATTGTCTGCGCTTCCTGCTCTGACGAGGCAGTGTGTTGAGACAGGGATGAGCTCCTGAAGACAAAAAAGAGGCCAGGTGCTGGGGTTTTTGTCTCTTTGTTTTGTAGGTGTGGGTGTGTGGTTTCCAAAACAGGGTGCTAGGTTGACTGCAGGCAGCAGCCTGCAGAGCTGCTTTGTTGCCTGACCTTGCCTTTTCTTTTTCACTCTTCTTTCATGGCTGTAACTTTCATTTGGATCATTTTAGCAGAGTAGTTAAGTGAGTTGCCTGTGGAAATGTGCTAGTAATAGCAAGAAGGTAAATGCTTGAAGCAGTAGTGAGCAACTTGCCTACAGGTAGAATTTGTGAAAGAACAACAACAATAATAGCAGGAAGCAAATCACAAGTTCCCAAAATATTGTGTGTGTTAAACACATCAAAGTTTAATTGCCAAATACTGTTTGACAGTGTGTTCCAAGTGGCTGTTTTTGATAAAAAGTTCAGGGTTGTGTGTGTTACAACCTGTCCCTCTATCTATGTGTCCTGCTCCATAAATGTCTGGCGGCAGGGCTGTTGTTCACTGCTCTAGGTCTGGACGCAGTAGGACTGTGATATTTAGACCTGACAGATGGGTTTAGGAATGGAAGGAGAATACCTGTTTTCTGTCAGGGCTATGAACATTGACCCTTTTTTCCTTCTGCTGCTTTCCTGTGCAGCAGGTGAAGCTGTTTTATTTTTCTCTCTTGTTCCTGGTCTAGCTATCTCTGAAGCAGCTGCTGCACGTTTGCAATTGGTGTTACTGGGTTTTTGTGGATCTCTCGTCATGGATCAATCCTGATGGTGTCAAGATGGGGTGTTCAGCTTACAGCTCCAGAAGCCACATCCTCTGAAATGGGTGCGGGTAAAGCTGCCCTTGGGCCTGTGGCTGTGCTTGTGGGGGTGCTCAGGGGCTCCCCATCAAACAGCAGGGTGTGCGTGGGCACCTGCGGAGCTGCGCTTTGCTCTGGGAGCTGCCCTGCTTTGGCTGTCGGGGGACAGAACCTAGCGTGTGCCTGGTAAATCCCAGGGCAGTCAAAAGCTGGGAAGGACCCTGAGCAGGTTTGGTGGTGTGACAGCAGTTTGGAAAGTTCTTGACTGTTGGGAGAAACAGCCTGGAAAAATAATTCCTTTTTTGCAAGGAGGCAGTTTACAAAGACAGGTGGATTGCTGTACCTTTTAACAACAATAATCAACTTGGGATGTATAGGGTGAGGAAGCCTTGGCTCTATGTAGGCTTGAGAAAAGGTAGGTAGGCAGGCATCTGTGCCTGTTACCTGTGTGTATCTGGGAAAGTGGCTCTAGTGAAACTGAAGCTGCCAGTGAGTCAAAAAAAGGCAGGATTGTCTTAAAAATGCAAAAGTTCTAGTGGCCCATATCCACAGCTGTGCCAGAGATGATGCCAAATAGTTTTTCCTCCACTTGGCTGTGGTCTTTGCAAACCGTCACAAAAGAAGGAAGGTTTAGATTCCTGCCCAGCTTTATGCTAAAGGGTTTTTTCCTTTCTCGGCAGAATGTCAACTGCCACTGTTTCTCCGGGGTCGCCCTTTCTTCTGCTGCGACAGCACAGTACAGATGGAGAGGATCTGGGGCGCTCTGCGAGTACAAGGTACGTCTGCGATGTGCATCTGCATTTTTAACATAAATAGGGTCTGTTCTGGAGCATGTTATGCCCACGCAAAGCTTACTTCCCTCTGCTTATTTTCTTTTCCTGAAAGCATAATCTTCTCTTTCTGGGCGATTACTAGTTAGATGATACCGTGAAAATAATTTTGTACTAAAAGAGGGAAGAAACTGTTTGTTAGAATGCAGATACTCAGAAGAAGCAGACTTTATTTTCATGATATAAGCTTCTTACAACATCTTATAGAAGTAGTCAAAAACTACTCCTCATTGGGTAGCGCACAAAAAAACTCCTTAGTCAAATGATAACTGTGTGTTTTGGAGATGGACAGTGCGATGGTATCAGTGCACAGCTGTGCAAGCTCAATTAGTGCCAAAGGCAGACACTTTTATGGTAAAAGTATTTTTATTGAATGTATATAGAGACAGACACCTTTTCAGCATAAAGTGAATGATTGAACTTTTTTCTTTGTTGCTCCCTGTATTTCTCAAGGTTTTACCTTTCCCTTTCAGCCGCATTGACCAAGCGAGAGGAGCAGCAGCAGCACCAGGGCTGTAGCGGCAGCGCTGGGTCCCTCAGCGTCATTCTGGTCACGGCACAGCCTGGTCCTGCCCCTTGAAGGGTGATCTCCCTGCACCGCGCTGGGAGGAAGGGGCCAGGCATTTCCCTGCACCAGCCAGAGGTTCACTGTTAGGCTGAGAAGGTGTTCCAGGCGGCATTGGTCAGTCTGAAGAGGGACCAGAAGCGTCGGGATGGCTCCGGCTTTGGTGGGCTGTGCTGTTTTTAGAGTGGAGCTGTTTCCTCGGGATCCTTCTGTCGCTCGGCTCCTGTCCTGTCCATTGGTCGGAGGGCATTGCCCTACTCTCTTGGGTGCTCTTTTGTTTGATGATGCTGAACTCCAGTTGGGCTTTGTTGTTTGTTTTGCAGGTGCCTCATTGTCCACGTCTTGTGCTGCTTGATAGCTGCCCCAGCCTGGGTTTGCGGCCAGTGGTGGAGCCACGTGAGGGGAAGGGGCCAGCCCCGGGTCTGGGCGTTTGGTGTTTTTTGTGGTGAATAAAAATGAGGGGTATTTGGGGCCATCCCAGTGTCACCAAAGGGGGTGATGATGCAGCAGAGGAGCAGGTGAGTTGGGGATGTGGGGTGACATGGGGTTCCCCCCTAAAAGAGGTAGGTCACAGCTGCAAAATATCTGAAAAATCATGGAGGGGGTTAAAAAATAATGAAGCCTGTAAATATGAGTGTGAAGTATTGAAATAGAGAACAATCTCTCATTTATCTAGAGATGGAAAAATATTTATGTATATAAAAGGAGTTAAGAACAAAACTCTGTATGGATTCTATGATTCTGTGATTCTATATTGTAAAAAAGATCTTATATAAAAATATATAAAATCCTATTTATAAAAAGATATTTGTGTCACAATAGATGTCTAAGGAGATAGTTTAAGTAGATATTCTACATAATGAGTGTTAATGTGTAAGTCGAAGCCTAAACGGATCTTCTATTGAAGTGTAACAAGAGAGTACATTTTCCCTAAGTCTTATACAGGTATAAATAAACGCAGAGGTCTTAAGTGCCTGTGCTGTAGATGGTTCTAAGTGGCAAAGGAAGCCTATTGCTAGAAGGGATTTCAGAACTGGCCCTTCCCTCTAATCTCTCTTGAAGGCATCCAGGCACTTTCAGAAGCTGCCCCTTCCCCCGTTTCCCCTCCCGCTCCGGCAAGCTAGATTCTGTGCAGTGGGAGAGGAGGAAAAAAACCCACCCCCATTTTCCTGCAGGGACACAAAACTCCCTGATGTTTCTGTGGTGGAGAAGGTGGCACCCCCACCTGCCTTCCTGGGCCCCGGCAGACTTACTGCTGTCGCCCCCAGGGCCACATGCAGAGCGCTGTGGCGTCCCTGGGGCCGGTTGCAGGGTGAAAACCACAGGTTTTTGGTGCCGAGGCAATGTCTGTGGCTGCCTGGGCTGCGAGCAGGAAGCCCTGCCCACTGGTAAGTGGTTATGGTCCCCAGGTGGAGGGAAGCGGGCTGAGAGCGGTCACCGCTGCTCACCCTGGTGAGGTCTCAGAGGGGGACAAGGAAGGGGGTGCAGGTGCCCGGCAGCCAAAGGCTGGAGCTGTGGGTGGGGAGCCACGGAATTACGGGTTAGCTGTTTGTTGTGGTTTTTGTCAAGGATGAATTCAGACCCCTGGCTCTCTGAAAGCTGAGGGACTGGTACTGGAGAGGAGCCAAGGTAGTTTTAGGGAGGGTTTTTTAAGTTAAAGAAGGGAAGAGGGCTGTTCAGGAGCAGTCCCCTTTGGGCAGGTAAAGGAAGCGGGTTACTCTTCAGCACAATGCTAGTGTGTGCCGGGCAGGCCGGTTCCACCTTCGGGATCATGTTGGATTTTACAGGGTTTTTTTAGCAAACTCATGTGCCCCATGGGCATGTGTAAATACTTGGTCATCATACCAATGTTGGCAACATCTTTAATCTGGATTGAAGCATGGTGGATGTGCAAAGAAAACATTGTGGGTTACTAGAAATGTAGAGCAAGAAGGAAAGAAGCAGATTCCTCTCTCTCTTATTCACTAGATTTAACACCTGTAGCTTTCTGTCACTTTTCAATTCTGTGTACTTGTGATAATGAACCTCACCTTCTGGCTTCCTTCTGTTTTATACAGAAAGAATCCATTTGATTTCAACAGAAATACTGCTTATTTTGCATTGATAGAAATTCCAGAAGAAACAGAGCACAGGTCTTGGATTTTTTTTAGAAAGAAAATTGGATCTTTTCAGTTTTTGGAAAACTGGATCTTTTGCATTGTGAATATTTTAAACATGAAAATGTATTAATCATAACCTTTGTCCCCAAAACAAATATTATTCCTTAAGGTCAGATGAGAAGTTCTGTTTACCCTTCCATAGCTGGTTGAACATTTAGAGTAATAGTCTACTAGGACATCTTGAATCCCCTGAAACAGATGTCTGACTGAGATGGATCATTTGAGGGTTTACGTGTGGCATGTGGTTATAATGAACCTCAGCGAATAATAACAAAACCGTGAATTTGATTTAGGAAGGATCATGCTTCAGGAATCCAGAACAGGTCTGCTTTATACGATGACCACAGTATAATAAGGTTGCATTACTTGCCCTGAAAAAAATAACCAGTATTCGGGTATAATTCATCTTAATGATTTGTTCTTCTATTATGAGAAATAGCACTATTGTTAATTATAATTTTGTATAGTTATTGTGTATTGGTGATAATGTAATGATCACATATTACACAATTTTGAAGATTCTGTTTTTATAGGTGTATAATTTACATCCATATTAGGACAGGAAACAAATGTGTTTATTATGAACAGTAAGGGTATCGTGCTTTTAATTACATTTTAAAAAAAAAAAGCAAGCCTTTTGCAGCAAAGCCCTATCTTAATAGTAACTTGAAAAAGTGAATTGCAAAGCTCACCTGGAAGCTTACCAGGACTTTGTTTTTAAATGTGGGTTTTCATCAGTGACCCCTTTAAAATTTGATTTGACAGATGAACTTTGGGAATTTTCATTTGAAACTGAAGAAAAATCCATCTCTTGAATAAGTTTTGCTGTTTGGCAGATATAGAACTGGGTGACGCTTCTGTCTTTGAGGACGCAGCAATAGCTTCCTCATGCCGATCAATTCACAAGTATCAGTACTCCAATATTCATGAAGTAAGATGATGATCGTTGTTGTTGCTGTTAGGACTGGCCCTACTGATTTCTTTTTGTCTCTCTTGTTGGGTTGGCTGAGAGCAGTCCACCATGAAGGCACACGGGTGCTGTCTCTCACTGAATTTTCATGTGGTGAGAAAGAGATGCCACATCTTAAGCAAGAGCCAGGGTCTTGGCTTGAGGAAAGAAAAGCTTTCCAAAGCACCGTTTCATCTTTGAAAGACCTGATTGCAAAACTGCAACGTCACAGAGAAGCTGAGGTATAAATAAGATGAGATGCTAGCTAAATAAAAAAAATAACATATGATAATCTTATGAGGTGCATTCACAATTTGGGTTTAAATGCTTTAAATATACTGCTGCAAAGCAAAATATTTCAGGAATATGCAGTAAAACTGCCCATCACGCTTTCTGGTAATAAATATGTCTTAAATGATAGGTTGCATTTGTTGTTCTGTGCATGGATAGCTTTTGACTGCACAGATTGACCTTTTAAAAGTCTTTGTATTTTGAAAGCATGTTTCCAATACCTGTTAAAGTAGATTTTTTTTTTTTAATGTTGTTATTTCTTGGTGTAGTAGAACTTGGATGCTATTAAAAGATACTGTAGTGAGAGAAAAGAGGAGAAAAAATGTGTAAAATAGAACTTGCCATTCATCATTAATCAATTTAAAACTTATTAGGCCTTGCCTGTATAATTACCTCAGCGAGTATTTTGTGTATATGTTGGTAGCTTCTACTACTGCTGCACTAACTTCAGCATGCAAAATGGGGGGATTGACGTTATCTCATTTACCCTGATTTTCTACGACCCCCCCATCTGGATTTTAAGGGCTCCCCAAACACCTCCCCCCTGCCGCCACCTCCTCTGAACATTTGGCTCCCCTCCTTGGGACCTCCCCCTCAGACACCTGGGGACCCCACAGAGGCACTTGGACCCCCCCTGTTTTTCTGTGACCCCCCCTCGAATTTTGGGGCTCCCCAAACACCATCCCCCCATCACAGAATCTCTGGGTCCCTTCCTGGGGTCACCTCTGAATGGTTGGATCCTCTCCTTGGGACCCATCTCCCAGGCAGCTGAGCCCCCCCAGACACCTGCGACCCCCCCCTAGAATTTTTGGGCCTCCCCAAAACATCCTCCCCTCCCCTTTCCCTCTGAACATCACCCTGGGATGGCTGGATCCCCTTATGGAGATCCCCCCCAGACACCTGGGGATCCCTCCCTGAATTTGTGAGACCTTCCTGAATCGTCGTTTCCCCCCTCCCCCCCCCCC